TCGGCAAAAACACAATGGTTATTACTTTTGTGACAGGTATGTTTTTACTGGATTTATATGTAATTACCAGCAATGATCTCGTGTTTCTACCACCTTGGCAAACCGCAGGAAATTCTTGGGGAATAGAAGGCATCCACGGGACGACATGTCATTTTGATTGCGAAGGCAGGCCCTGAAGTAGAGGGGGGATCATCGTTCGAGGATATACTCACCGAAATATAAGCCTCTTTCTCAATCGACTACATGCATCTCGTCTCCGTTAATTTAAACCTTAAGCTGCTACATTTTCAGTAGATCTCAGCCAGCAAGATGTCCGCCGGCTTAAGGCCTCTATAGAGAAATGTGTCAAGGTTTGCCAGCAGCTTTTTTATGCAAGTGCTGGTTGCTGAATACAGATAATTTTTAGTATCTATGCTGTGGTAAGTCCCCGTCTCGAGCAATCCTTTTCAGGACATTGACTGCAATCTTTAGATGCCATTTCAAATTTACACAACTCAGTATTGTGCGATGAGAGAATACGCTCGCCTTCTGCTGAATAATATTCTTTCGGACTTTCAGGTTTTGAACGGTCCGGCCGATAAATTTTATAATCTTCATTGCTTGGTCGTCTTTCATGATGACTTCAGTCGGATTGGAGAGGTGGACAATTCCTCTGCATTCCACATTTTTTTTTACAAACAGTTCGCAGCAACATAAGGGACCCAACCAACGTATGCGTACAAGTTAAGTAGTGTGCTATGCACAGGCAGTGACTTCAAACTTATTCGTAATGATTTGCTTCGGCTTTGACGAACCTCCTGCGACGAAGGTCTCCTGCAGCTTTTGTATTTGTCCCTTCGTCAACCACATGCACAATTCGAGATAGATAACCGCAGGCAAATTGAGCAGCTACGCAGTTATTTAGTTAGGACTAGTGCATAATGATGTAGTATATGAAATCTTAGTTCTTACATTTGATTTCTTTTAAATGTAAGCGATAGCGATTTAATGTTCATGCTTGTTTAAATGTACTATTTTAAATCAATGCAAACAAATGAGACGCTAAGATACAACTTGTGCGTTCCGAAAATCTACCCATATACTTAAATATCCATTTTTAAGTAGGTCCCAACTTTCGGATTTATTATACCAAAATGTTCCTGCATTAAATACTTAGAGGCTTTTAGAGTCCCTGATTTGATTATCATATCGTTTATAGACGGTTTGTGGACACAAAAGGGGATGTCTGTCGATATAAGCCGCGCGGCTTATATTGACGGATGTTCCTGAACGGACTTCACCGTAGTGATCAGTTATTCTATTCAAGTACAGGGCGGCAAATCTTTCTATTTCTATAAAATATACACTTCGGCGTGCTCTTCTATTTTGTTAATCCTTCCCGATTTAATTTCTCGCAGTACGCACAACCATACGAAACTTATTATTGTGAAAATTAAACCAAGCACATTTGAATCCCGCAAGTAAAATTTGACGCATAATCTGTGGAATAGTGTGACTAAAAGTGCATCGGCTTACATCAATTACTTCGCCTGGGAACCTTGAATTTTATAAAAATTTTCTTTATTGACGTTTTCACCCCGGCTCAGCACACTCACGAGCGGAAAATCAGGCGACGGGCCGGATTTTGGTAGGCCACATAGTGGGTAGACTGGCGAGCTGCAGAAAAGAGCATGACTGCCCACACCCTCCCCCCGCCGACTGACTTTAGACTTTTGCTGCCGATGGACACAGTGTCCATCGGTTTCGCTATCAGGGTTAACTCTTAAAATTTCACGCGATATATCTGCTTTTAGAATTAACGGAACAGAACTACATTTTCATCACTTTGGACAATTGCTTACGACTGCTAAAAGAATTTTACCTTGGAGATTAGAACATTTTAAACCTGTTAGGACTGTGGTTTTCCAAGTTAAGATGAATGAAATGTTAGGCAGTGCTGAAAGGTGCCTTTAAATGATTGTTCACAGGGAATATTCATCTACGGTTCACACAGACGTATGCATTGCGTCTTAGATGGTGTTTTAAAAAAACTCACTTTTGCAAGGAATAATGGCTCATATCTCTGACTTACTCCGGAAGGTATTCTAATATGCTAACCTTTATCTGAAACATGTGCACCAAAATACGGTGTTCGTGAAACCTAACCTACGGTAAAATTTGAGGTAATGACTGGAGTAATTAGCAATAAACCAAAAAATAATCTAAGAGCAGAACATCTTGCAAGTCGGCCAGTACTAGTATTCAAGATATTATGATGTAGGCACTGCGATCTGGACCACAAGAAAGAGTTTAATTAAAATTTTGAAACCTAATAAATTTTTGGCTCGTAAGAAAAGTAAACAATTCAAATTGACGAGCCGGCAAATATGTTATATAGCCATCATCGTTTCTTTTTAACATGACTATACATTACCAAACTCATGATTTAGTCCGTACCTCCTTCGTCAGCCTAAATTCCTAGACTGGAGACTTTTACGACGATTATCAGCCCAAATTATATTGACTTCTAATAGCGCTGACCGCCTTAAATTAAATATTTTATTGAGAAGTCTTTTTGACTATTTTCTAGATATACCTAGAATGCCTAAAAGCAAGCAACAAGGCGCGTAGCTGTCGAGAGTTAATGTTTAAACGAGACTTACTCAGCTAGTAGACTCGCCCTTTAGTTCACGCCGTCATTCTGAATGACACTGAACGTATGCGTACATGTTGTGCACCTTGCCCTCTTTCAGCTTTAGTTTTAGGCCTAGGTGACCGATTTAATTTTGGGTGGTCTTGACTCTTTCAATAACTTCCGAATAAAAACAACTTTCCAGCGTGCAATGATTGTTTTTTAGTAGCACATTAGTCTAAATAATAACGTATAGGCCGTCAATTGCAACAGTTCCTGGAGTGTTTTATCACCTCACATTGCGTGTGGAAACTCTGCAATGTTTAACCCTAAGCTGTTTTTAAGAATAAGAATGTTTATTGCGTTTATTGTAAAATTCCATCGGTCAGTACGCTCAGATGCTCGGATAAGACCATTACAGTTCTGCGAGCGCTGCAAACAAATTTTTTAAATTTATAAATGTTTGACTATTTCTCCCATACCAGCGCGAACGCATTTACGAAAACTTATACATAATAATGGCAACATTAGGCATATTAAGTACTTAAAAGAACTATAAGAAGTGCTAAGTGTTTC